TCTCTGACACAGCACCTGCTATCAGAATACAGTGATTGGATGGCCCTTAGCAGCTGGCCATCAATCCAGTACGCTCGAAGGCATGACCACGGACTGCTGCGTGGGATTCAGTCATAGGCTTTCTGTAGGTTCACAAAGCACTTATACCGGATGAGGGAATTTCTACAGTTACTGTAAGGCGAATTCCTACAACCTGGCGTACGGCATAACCTGTCAGATGTACTTCTGCCGGACCTTAAGCCACACTGCAATTAATTCTCCAATATCCGTGCAGACGTATAACGACGTTCACCTCATCACCCGCAAAATTTCAGTTTTTTCGTCTCCTTACTCTAATATCACCAGTAATACGTACATATACAGATCAAAACGATAACATTTTCTACGGTTCACAGCATCAGTAATGGCTTTATAGGTTGGCGTAGCGACTTAAATGAATCTTCACGGGGATAATTTTTGCTGGCTTCCTTGAAACTCTACCTACCCCTGTCTGTTGAATCATTTTACCCCTTTTTTCAGTGATATTTACTTGACAGCCTCTATTCCAGCTGACATATATGAATAGCATTATGGGGTTTGCTCGCGGACCGCAGTTACAGCCGAACTACTAGTGGTCTTCCGCGTCGATATGTTGCTGTCAAATAATTCCGTACTCTGAGTGTGGCCATCACTCCAGAGTAAGGAGTCATGATCGGGCGAAGCTCCAGTACTCACTTTAGTCACTTGTTTTTAACGTCACCATATGATTAGCACAATTTTCGGAAATGGTTATACATTCGTACTGACCCAAAATGGAATATGGTGCCTGTTAAGGCCGATCATGCCAAAGTAGACAGTAAGCACCATAGTATTCGATCCACCTTGACACCGATCATCTCTGCATGGCCACCAACCACTTCAACCCCAGGTATAACCCGACAAGGAGAACCAACATGCACCTCACATAAGACTGATTAAACCATTCAGCCATTAGGTCCATACCTCTTCAACTAACGTGTCTTTCGTTATAAACTTATCTCCATACAATTGCAACATTGCCTTAACGCCTAAAATGTTTTAAATCCATCAAGAAGAGGCATGACCATGGAACCAGAAGAGAGCGTGTCATCCAAAAAACCGGGGGGGGGCGGAATATTCCAGGTTTGATCCTACCTAAAGGTGACTCGTCACTCTGAGATGCAAGATCGTTGCTGATCCTGAATAGGGATTAACAGTGGCTGCGCACTGCCTGAATTTGAGCTAAACTGTCTAATTATTAAAGGGAACAAAATCCATTTAAATAAACTAATATTCTTATACAGTACTTTAATCCAAAACCAGTGCCCAGATTCCCTGGAAAACTTCTCGTGAAGAAAATTTACTACCGTTTTTCTCCATCGATAGCGCACAACTAATGCATACCACGCACCATGTGCTTCTCTATACTCGTTAAAATGTATGGCTAACGCGCATCCTGTAATATCTAATGCTCGTGAAATACATAGATAGATTGTAATCTATTTCTCGTCTGAAAAGTTTTGGGGCAAATGAAAAATGGAATATGACTGGCTCTGGCTGTATCCAAAGCACACGAACAGAAGAATTAACAAGAGTCAGCATACTGCTAATGGTCTTTGAACAGTGTATTTTGCAAATATTTAGTTTTTTCATTTGAAAGTTGCTTCTGAGAAAATTACCCACTAAAAAAAATACTGTGGAGAAAATCATATACAGCGATGTTTAACTTGAAAGACGATAATTTCGCGAAAGTAAAAGGGAATCGCGAGACAGGCAGGTTATTTTACGTTTTATTTTCACCTTATTTTATTATATTAATCCTTACATTAACTGATATTGCAATATGCACATGGTTTCAGACTATTTATTTTCACAATAAACGCAGTTTGAAATTACGGCGTAAATAGGAAACTTGAAATAATTTAGTTTTTTTCTTTTGTCATTGTATAACGCGCAAGGTTGTTTTTTACACACTTGACATTTTTGTTGAGATAACGAGCGCGTTATCGATGGGTAAATATTGCTGTGGAAATATTACGATAGCTAAAAATTTATTTTATATGGAGATCGGCTTCTAGACAAAATTCAAGCCATCAAAGAATCGCACAATAAAATG